TCATCATCATCATCATCATCATCATCATCATCATCATCCATTTGGCCCCGTCCGGGATAAATACCTCCTGATCGGTGCTCCCTGAACATCACCGTGATTCGAAGATTTTGTGATTTCAGAGGGAGCAGGACTAGGGCTTTTTTTCACGGTCAAGGACCCCCTCAGGTTTCGTGGGTGTTTTACAAACACGCGACAAATGTGGCATCTTCGAATCTTCACCTACATTGGGATGGTTTGAGGGGCACACGTATATAACTTGATATGCGATTTTTTGGGGCGTTTCACACATGCAAGCGTTGGAAATGAATTCTCCTGGAGGTAGATTCGAGGTTCCACTGGCTCAATCATTGGACCTGAGTTGTCGACCGTAGTGTCCCACAGAATCGCATTGCCCCAGAAATTCCAACGCACAGATGTCCTTCTACTGCTGGTTGGTTGACTAGAAAGCCCTACGGCTCCAGTCATACCTTCGGAGGAGGTACGGCTGCAGCCCTAGGGAAGGATACCCCCAGTCGTGTACAACCAACAGGTCCAGTACATTCCAGTACCGAGTCGACCTGTCTATTGCTATAGTACGGACCTCATTGATGTGACGGAGTGGTTCCTTCGCGACTCCCATGATCCCTGGCTCGCCCAGCGTGCCACGGGCTAGCGTGAGAGGGACGGCCGAACACTGAGGCAGAAATCCAGGACAATGTGGGACGAAGCAAGATGGCATCTCAACAAAGCTAGACTCTAGACTATAGACCATGCAGTTGCGTGACTGATGTGACGACTGTCACAGTGACCGTTGCAGCCGCAGACCTCACGCATCCTTCCTTTTTGCACGCCCCGATTTGGGAGCTTTTCAGTTTGTGGGTCTCCCAAATGGGCGGTTGGATCGGGGATTTCAATGGAAGATTGTTCAGGGTGCTTGAGGCACTTCAGTTCTGCTATAGTTCTAGGTGGTTTCATGCGACTCAGCAAGCAGGCTGCAGTCATGCTAGTGCTGTGCTTGTTGTTATCTCCGACGCTCAGGAAGCACGAGGTGATGGCTTTTTTTGATTGGATCCCTGATCCCTCGTTGGCATAGGGGCGCGGTCCTGAGGCGCGGACTTAGCGTGAGGAAGGCAAGCAGCCCCCCCGTGACGTTGATCTAGCTGCTAGCTGGCTCAGGTGGAATCGATGGATCTTCCCCATGAAACAGGGAGCCATTCGGAGCTATAGGAGCCCCCCCAACGGGTTGCAAGAGATATCCAATGATATCCATGTCAGGCACTCAACCTGAGACTTTCTGTTCCTCTTGGGATGACCGTTGGCCAGGCTTAACCATTTGCACACATGGCAGGGCCGTCTCAGTTTGGTTGCAATCTCTTTGGACATGACTGAAGTCCCATGCGAAGCTTGGATGAAGGGAATCTGGCCTGCTAGAGCTGCTAGAGGTGAGCGGCGGGGTCCTCAGGACTGTTTGAGTACCATGGCAGCTGACCAGGTGAACATTGATAGGTCAGGCCAGCTCCTTAGACCCTGAAGCTCAGAACTTCCGTCTGACTTAGTGGACCCCACTTGCGAACTCAGGAGATCTCTTTCTAATTGTCTATGAACCGAGAAGTCAGCGATTCCCAACCAAAGGAGGGACCTTGCCTTCACCGGGCCCGCTGAAGTCTGCCGATCTCGCTGGCCCAACCCACCGCGAAACACTCCCGCACCACGACCGACCGCGGAAAAAGCCAGAAGCGGCGCCGTGGCGCGCCGTGGCGTTGCGGCTCCAGTCCTCTAGATCCTCTAGAAAGTGGGACAGGTTTTACTACCAGCGCCACCCAAAGGGTTTTTTATAGACCCCCCTGAAGAGACATGTTCCATCCAATCACTACCCTTTGGGTGGTGCTGGTACTTAGCACATCTTAGTACCAGACACAACAAAGGTGCTTCCACATTTGGATAGTCCTGGACGGCTTCGCTTTTGGGGGATGGCTGTCATGGCACCTTCCTCACCAATTCCCCACCAAACCATGGTACTTGTAGGGTGACACATGTCGACACCCCAAACCTAGGAGGAATCATGGAACCTGTTCCGACAGCATAGATTTTCTATACGAGGTTCGATTGGTTATACATGATTCTACTGCTTTGGACAGGGGCCACAGGTGGTCCAAGTGTTCGATTTCAAACAATTGGCAGGCACCCCACTTTGGGTTTGCTTGTGTTGCAGTCTGAAGGGTTGGGATATCCTTCAAATTCCTTCAATCTGATCTCATTTGGAGTCCTTAATGTCACCTGCTGCTCTCACCTGTTGGAACCAGCTTCAGATCACTTCAGTCACCCTCGCGCTTCCGGTCGTGTTCGAACGGCAGGAGCTCCTGGTGGACTTGACAGAGTGGGTGGCTGTGATGACTGGGTGTTGAGGTGGTGGATTGAAATATGACCAGGACCCCCGGGTTTTCTTGGTGGTTCATGGATACCCGGAATCACCGCTAAGGAGCACAATTAGACACCCCGAAACGGGGGGCCCTGGTATAAGTTTCTTTTTACATTCCTTTTCCAGTAACCTGCTGACACATGGATAGTGGAGGTCCAAAGTCAGACCCAGAAAGGCCTTACCCGGCGGTGCTGGGAGTGGTGCAGAACAATCGACGGTTGTTATTGGACGATTATGGGATATGTCACATGTCGTTGTATCCTCATTAACCTATCGATAGAGGATTGACTGGACCAGGCTGGACACTCATGCCATGGTGTGGGTGATGCTTCTTGTGAGTCGTTGAGCGGTGATCCAAGACAAATTCAGCTTCTTCGAAGTGAGCTTTTTTGGGGGTTGTACTTAAGTGACCCCTTTCAAATGCTAACATCATCTAAAGTATCCAATTTGTTTCTTTAGAATCATAGGGCGAAGAGTCGACATGCCGCTACGT